GTTGAAATCTCCCAATATTTCTCTCTCTCTCTCTCTCTCTCTCTGTCTCTGAGTAGAGATTCCTTGTGCCATAAGACATCTCTAGTCCTGTGATTGGCCCTGGGTCCTTTTTGTTCCAAAGACCATACCGTATTAATAGCCAGTTCCTCTTGGTTTCCTTTTTTTTTTGGAATCGGAGTCTCACTCTGTCGCCCAGGCTGGAGTGCAGTGGCACGCTCCGGGTCACCCCAGCGTCGACCTGCTGGGCTCTGGCGATCCTTCCGCCTCAGCCTTCCAAGTAGCTGGAACTACAGGTGCGCGCTATCACGCCCGACTAGTTTTTTTTTTTAATTGTAAAGAAGAGGTCTCACCAAGTTGTCCGGGTTGGTCTCGAACCCGCGGGCTCAGGCAATCCGCTCGCCTCGGCCTCCCAAAGTGCCGGGATGACAGTCTGAGCCAGCGAGTCTGGCCTCTCTTTGTTTCTAACAAGCATTGGTTTTCCTTTCTAAGAGCTCTATCGGCCAGCCCAGCCCACCTCTTCCCTTGTAATGCTTGTCTTCTTTTCTTGAAGTCCCTAACCAGGGGCAGTTTTGATTGGAGGGGAACCAAGGAGAAGATTGAAACATGAAACTAGGCTGCAAGTGGTGGCTCAGCCTGTAATCCCAGCACTTTGGGAGGCTGAGTGAGAGGACTGCCTGAGCCCAGGGGCTCAAGACCAGCCTGGGCAACTTGGTGAGACCTCGTCTCTACAATAACCAAAAAATAACCCGGGAATGGCAGCACATACCTGTAGTTCTGTGGCAGAGAGGAGCTGAAAACAGTTAAAATCATTCCTTTTAAAAATCAACTGGCGAGCCGGGCTCGGTGGTTCAGCCTGTAATCCCGCGCCTTTGGGAGGCTGAGGTGAGTGGATTGCCTGAGGCTGTGGGTTCGAGACTCACCTGGGCAACTTGAGAAGACCTCATCTCTACAATAAAAAAAAAAAATTAGCTGGGCGTGGTAGCGCACACCTGTAGTTCCAGCTACTTGGAAGGCTGAGGCGGAAGGATCGCTGGAGCCCAGCAGGCGAGGCTGCGGTGGCCGGAGCGGCCGCTGCACTCCAGTCTGGGGACAGAGTGAGACTCCAGCTCAACAACAACAGCAACAAAAATCAACTGGCAAGGTTCAGACCTGCTAGACATGGGGCTTGAGAAAATCAGATGGCCAAAGGTCGCTTTCCTGGAAATGCAAGATAGTGATCCATTCACAACCCTATTCCCACATCCTTTTTGGGAAGTTACCGGTTTACAATCCCTGTTTGTCACGTATGCCCTGGAGAAAATTTGCTCGTTGCAAATCTGGTGTTGCTAAATACCACCTCACAAATTCCCAAGGAGAATGTGTGGTCAGACAACCCGACCCCTTCCCTTACCTCAAGCAGCGGTGAAAGCCCTCTCCTTTCTCCCAGTTGCTCAGCCTTGGAGCATCAGCCCGCCGCGTCGCGCCGGTGCTAAGGAACCGCCGCTTCCTAAGAGAGCCTCGGGGTCCCGGTCTGCTTCCCGCGGGCGTGCAGCCACTCGGGTGGCTGAGGCGCAGGGGCCGCCTAGGCCCAGCAGGCTCAGGCGGCGGCGGCCGTACGCGTGCCACCGCACTCCGGCCGGGCGAGGGAGCGGGACTCCCCCTCAAACAAGAGAGTGAGCGGTTAGGAGCTGGCAAACACCGCAGCCCCCGAGGCCTCTTCAGAAGGAGACTTGCCGTTTCCAAACAAACCGGGGCACCCGCCTCAGACGAGGACTTCAGCGGCGAGTAGGCGGCCGGGAAGGGAACCACGGTTCTCCAGGAGGAAGCAGACCGTGCCCGCGTAAGCCTGCCGGCTGCCTGGCTGTGCCCGGGCCGGCCCGAGCTGCCCCTCACGGGCGGCCTCCCACCGCCGGCGCGCCCTCACAGACGGCCGGACGCGAAGAAGGCGTCCCGAGAGCTGCAGAGCCGCCGGGTCTCCACGGCCTCGCAGCAAAGCGAAGGAGCCGCAAGGAGCAGGCGGCCCGGTCCCGACGATCCGCAGACCCGCGTGCGCCCACGCGGGGCTCCGGCTGCCGCCTGGCCGCAG